TGCCACTCGACGAAGAGTCTAAACCTAAGACAGCATTTCGGACTCCAGGGGGCCTGTTTCAGTTTAACCGGTTACCCATGGGACTTCACTCCTCTCCTGCGACGTTTCAGCGCCTTATGGAGTTGGTTTTGTCGGGCTTGCAATGGGATACGTGCCTGATTTACCTTGACGATGTCATTGGTTTCAGTAAAACGTTTGAGGAACACCTCCAGCGATTGAGAGGGGTGTTCTTGCGAATGCGATCGGCTAAATTAAAGTTTAAACCGGCCAAATGCCACCTTTTTCGTAAATCCGTTAGATACTTGGGTCACATTGTCGACTCTTCGGGGATTTCTACCGATCCCGCGAAGACGGACTGTGTCAGTTCATGGCCGACGCCCACGTTAGTTTCGGACGTGCGCAGTTTCATCGGTTTTGCTTCTTATTATCGCCGATTCGTTGAGCACTTCGCCACCATTGCAAAACCCTTGCACGCTCTAACGGCGAAAGGAGTGAAGTTCCGATGGGGACCGGAGGAGGAGGCTGCATTCTGCTCCCTCCGGGACGCCTTGGTAGGTGCCCCACCCTTGCGCTATCCTGACTTTGCGAGTCCCTTCTTGCTAGACACGGATGCTAGCAACACGGGCATTGGGGGGGTGCTGTCCCAAGTCGTTGGGGGGGTCGAACGGGTGGTCGCCTATGGTAGCAGGGTGTTGTCGCCGGCAGAGCAGCGCTACTGCGTCACCCGTCGCGAGCTGCTTGCCATTGTTTTTTTCGTACAACAATTCAGACCATATCTCTATGGTCGTCACTTTACGGTCCGGACGGACCACGCGGCGCTCCAGTATTCATTGCGGGTCGCCCAGCCCTCGGGCCAATTGTCACGGTGGTTGGAAGTCCTCCAGGACTATCAGTTCACGACTACATACCGTAAGGGGTTGCGACACACAAATGCCGATGCTCTGTCGCGATTGTTGCCTTGTCACAGATGTGCGTGCTTATCGGGATCGGCGCGCTGTAAACCGCCAGTTACGGAAGGTATGGGGGCGTTGGTTGCGACCGCGGGCACACCAATTGGGGATGTTCCCGCTACCCCAGGGGGTCAGGACTCGCTGCTCTCACTGTCGCTGATTGAGTGGGGCCGTCTCCAAATGGCGGACAGCTCCCTGCTAGCATTGCGCCGCAGGACGGGGGGTTCCGAAGGTGACCATGAACGAACTGGCTCCTATGTACTTAAGCAAGGCCTGTTAATGAGATGGGACAGTTTGTCCCGGCGGCACGCGATTGTGGTGCCTTCTGCTGTGAGGGGGAAAGTTGTCTTGGCCGCACACGAACGCCTCTTGCATTTGGGAGTAAACAAAACGCTTGCCCTGCTTCAGCGTGACTATTATTGGCCGGGGATGGGGAGTGACGTGGTGAATATTCTGAAGGGTTGTGTTGAGTGCGCCAGACGGAAACTACCGCCCGTGGCAGCTAATCCACCGCTGCAATCTATTCAGGTCTCGCGCACTAACGAGCTCGTTGCGCTCGATATTCTGGGGCCTTTTCCAGTCACGCCTAGGGGTAATAAGTACCTGTTGGTGGGGGTCAAATATTTTACCCGGTGGCCTATGGCGTGGCCACTCGCCAACCAGTCGGCGGCGGCTGTGACGGACGCCTTTGTCCAGGGCTACGTCCTGGACAAGGGGGCTCCCGAACGCTTGCTGACCGACCAAGGGAAAAATTTTTCAAGTAAATTGCTGCAAGAGGTGTGCGACCTGTTGGGTACTAAGAAGGTGCGTACCTCCCCGTACCACCCGCAGACGGACGGGATGGTGGAGAGACTCCACAGGACATTGACTTCTATGCTGTGCCAGCAGGTGTGTGAGGCACATGTTGATTGGGACCTGCAGGTCCCTGGGGTCCTCGCCGCGTATAGAATGGCCCCCCATGCAGCTACGGGATTTTCCCCGTTCTATCTGATGTACGGTCGGGAAGCCGACCCGCCCATGGAAACGCAGCTGGGCCTGCCCGCGCCACGAACTAATTCGAAATTGGCAGAGCATATTAAATTTAATATTCATAAGCTGACAGAGGCAAGGGAGGCCGCACGGCTTAATTCGCGGGCTCGCCAAATTGCAAACGAGCGGTTGCGTGCACGGAAGGTGTCCGTGCACAACTGGGAACCAGGTGACAGGGCCTGGCTGCATTGCCCTCAGGCACCTTTGGCTACGTCGCCTAAATTGTTGAAGCCATGGCGGGGACCCGTGGAGGTCGTGCGGGTTGCACGCCCCCAGTGCGTTCAGATAAAATGGGGAAACGCCGTT